AAGCCACTGTGTGCCAGTCCTGGTGCTCCATGGAAATCAGATACCACTGCCAGATCACTCAAAATCAAAGTCTCGCTTGGCTCCCATTCTGAAGAGGACAGTTTAGGCTAGTTACTCACAAAAAAAACCAATCTATTGCTACTTTATCGCTTAGAGTTACAAAACGGTTTTCTAGAGATCTCCTAGTAAACCGGTCACTGAGAAGTACTTTCAACTTTATTTTAGTTATAAAAAGATAATTTAAAGTCTTGGCTATCTAACCGCAAAAAGCAGAAGTCTCTATCGCTTTTCGTTCTTCACTTATTCAAAAACCACTGATATATAAAACCACTCCGCTGTAATAGGTCGTGGCTTACGTGCAATGGCTCTTACACATTTTTCTCTTCGTCTTTCTGCTTTTCTTCATTGTATACCAAACCAATGGATCTACTTATTCTCATATATTCAAAATAAATAATCTGCTTCTCATTCATTAAAGAAAGCGATCTGTAATCTATAAACGCAACAAACATTTAAATTCAGCTTTTCAAAAACAAAACAATAATCTCCAAGAAATATTCTAAAAATGATGAAGATTTTGATTGTTATGTTATTGGCTGCTATTATTATACGCATTATATCGACAGGTATCTAGAGTGAGTAAGTTACATCAATTTTTTTATTCCATTTTAGATATTACTATCGGAAAGGGAGAAATATGTGGACTAAATGCAGAATTTAAAACATGTGATTTCTCGCACATGTGCTAATCCTAATAAGCGACGACAAATGTGTATAATGGTATGTTGATCTGGATGTTTCTGTACCAGAAAATTTTTAAAAAATGATCAAAATCAATCTGTTGAACAATCAAAATGCTAAAATTTCTAAATATGTTTCATATGAATAAACAAAGTAAAATTTATGACTGTATGAAACAACAACAAACTTTTTCATTAAATAAATAAACAAGTAACGTTTATCTACGATTCAGCTTATCCCGATTAACTTATAATTAAAAGATATGATCGAAAAAAAAGTAAATTTAATAGCATTTTGTACTGCTCAAAATAAGAATATAAGGTTGGCCGTAGTTTGGCCGAAAGGAAAAATGTCGAATGGAATAATGCCGAAGAGGAAAAATATCGAAAAGATCAACTGATGAAATGCTCTTTATGTTTGATTATGATATAAGTGGAAGATATGAGTTAGAGATAATACAAAAAATAGAATTAAAATGTCATTTTTTCCGTTTAGCAACTGTTAATGATAAACCATGTAAATATTCTTTCACATCAATTAGACCATCATAGTATCTTTTATCAAGATTATCAATACGACACTGAATAGCAAGTGTTAGCTGTAGAATTTTACTTGTGTAATATTGTTGTCCTGACTATCCAACTATTATTGTGTAGATAGTATTTGTCACCATTAGTACTGATTTTAGTTCCACACCAATAAAATAATGAGAAAAAAATGTTCACACGAAATTAAAGTTTGTTCACTAATGATATCATATGTTTCGATATTTTTCCCTTTCTATTTTTTTTTCTACATTTTTCCATTTTTCCTTCCGTTTAAACTACGGTACACCGAAAATAACTGCATACCTCTTTGCTTGGTATATTTCTATTTTTCATCATCCCAAAAGAGTTCAAAGAAAAAATGTACCGGTTAAAATTTTTAGAAAAGTGACGGCAAAAATTTCCCGTACACTTCTATCTTCATTTTCTTTTGATCATAACTTGGTATCAAAAAAAAGCGTTTGACAAGCGGTTTGCATCAAAATATTCTCCGCTCTCTCTAATAAAAAGGGCGCTGGAGAAGGAAAATCGGATTTTTGAGCATTTCGCTTATTAACACTCTGCATTAAAATCAAAGAAAGGATTTTCTAATTTCCTGCTATGCCTTAGAAGAAATTAAGAAGAAACAAGTTTCGGAAAATACCCTATGCAGTGCAGTCAATTCTTATGCGACAATCTGTATTTGAGCAGTGTTTAATAGAAAAAACGTACATGTTGTGTTTGAACAGGGTTTTATTTAATAAACAAAGAAATAATTTCCAGCTAAAAGATGGTACATATACTGCTGGTTATCAATACCATGTGTATATGGTTATTTATTTGTGCTCTTTTTCTGAATCCGATGAATCTGACGACGATTTCCAGTCTTTTGAATCATCCATAATAATATCCGTTCCTCCAGCTGCTGCTTTTAAACCATAATGTTTTAAGGAATGTTTACCTTTTAACACTTTGCCTTTATAAATAAGACGACAACCTTCAGCGTATTGAGGTGTTAAACGTGCTTTTAATTCTGTTTTTAATTCTTTCACAGTTGCCTTTTCAGCCAAATTGAATACCATTGATTTACCATCCGATTTGCGTGTTATTGTCACTTGAACTTGATCAGCAGTTGTTGATGATGATGCCATTATTCTAGAAAGTATATACATAGACAAAATGACTTTGCATACCCTAAATATCAAGGAAAGCAATAAGGACTTTGATTTTAAGAGCTACTTTCTTGAGATTTTGGGCAAATTAGATGTACAACTATTACCAATTTTACATTTTATCGATATCTTCTTAAAATTAAAAACTTAGTCGATTCTGCAAATTTCAAGCCTTGAAACATTTTCATCTAGGACAAATGTCAATTACGAAATAAACAACAACACTTGAATGTTACTTGTTATATAACACGTCATAAATAAGAAGGACAAATTCCATATCATTTTTTCCATCAATTGATTACTGTAAGATTTAAACTAGATGTAAGACCTTTGGGTTTACAATGAAAAAGGTATTGAGTTTATATAACATTTTTATTTAAAATAAATGTCATCCCTAATGAAACTTCTTGTACCCAAGATTTTGGGTTAAGAAATGTCACAAGATCTTGGAAACAACACCAAAAATCTTGGATTCTTGAATCATCCGCTCAAGATCTTGACACGTCTTGGCTGACTTTACTCAAGAACTTGGGTTAAGAAATTTCAAGATCTTGAGTAAATCCACTCAAGGTGTTGCAAGAGCTTGAGTGACAAACTTTCTTTACATTTTGCTTTTATTTATGACAGTCGTAGTCACTGGATATATGACCGTATAGAGTCGTAGATTTTTCTCTATTCCATGCTCTATTCCATTTTCCATGTCTATTTATGGATGTGACATTTATTTCAAATAAAAACGGTTTATAAGCCCAAAAATTAGGATTTATAGATGAAAATAGGATCCTTATGAGCTTGGTAGCTTATACTTGCATGATCAAGGTAATGCGCAAGATCTATAATGATGTCTATTTTGAAACAGTCATTTCTCTTGGATAAAACTTTTTAAGATTTGCAACTTTCAGGGCCGAGCGAGTTTTGAATGAGGAATGCATAGGCAAAAAATTACAATGGGACGAACTCTACGGCAATCCGCCTGATTCTCTGGTCATATTAGTGAATATGTAATCTAAAAACTATCTTTATCCACTTTTATCCAAGCCAAACTTTTATCAAAAGGTAAAAGTCTGTGTACTCTTACATATGTTGCATGTGGGAAAGTAGCAAACACTCATGTCAGATAGGCTCACTTGATACTCTGTAGATGCGAAAACAGAGTATTTTTGTCAGACCCTCATTTCAGAGGTATTCGAACTTCCAAAAACCATTTTTTCTTTTCCTTCCTATACATTTATTTTTATAATCCTTCTGTTATCTTTTTCTAAGAAAACATTATTATTGGCTTCGCACAATAGGTTTTCAGAGCGAAGTAGTAAAATCTACCAGACTTTGGTGTTCAGTGTGTTAAAAAATGAGAGATTTTTTCGCAATATTTTTTGTTCGCTTTTATGTATCACATTGAAAAAAAACATCTGATTTCATCATACTGTTAGTTCTCAAAAGGAACATTACCTTACCTAGCAAACTTGTTACGATGAACAATAATTTATGACTAAAGTGTGGATCTATAAGAAGAAAAATGAAATTCTATTCAAGCACTCATTCAACTCGCATTTAAATAGAAATAAAGACTGAATGTACTAGGTAATAGCAAAACCGATGAAACAAAAGGAGTGTGAAAATTTGTTTTTATCAGACCGAAAGGAAGAAAATAAAAATACATAAAAATATGGTTTTATGTTTCTTTTTTCTATACACAAAACAGAACACGAAGAAAAAGTCGGTTTCGCACATTTTTTTCTTATAATACCTAGTTATCTTGTACATTTATTAAGTTTTTCTTATCTCGCCTTTAAGTTCTAAAACTTTCTATTCTTTCATATAACGTCCTAACTTACAGAGCAGAAGAATATAGCGATTGATTGATCGGTCACAAGATACAAGAGCGGTTGTTTTTAATTGGAACAACGAAACTGAAAACTTAATAATTTTAATGTTTTGTCGAGGCGCTATCAATCATATACAAATTTTTCTACAATCTTTTCATCGGTGGTCAGAAAATTGTGCCGAATAAAAACAACAGAAAAGTTTTTTAGGGGCGAAAGGGATACAGTCATTAATTAAACTGAATTAATTGGCTACGATCGAACCTGAACCTGCACAAAAAATTTTCCTTGATGTGGTATATTATTCTATATCATTATAACATGTTAATTTAAACATAGGATGACGACAAAACAGAAATAAATGCAAAATGAATAACGAGTTAGACATTTAATTGATCACATGACATGATAAGCACATAGAAGAGCCTCGATCGACCAAAAAATTCACACCGTCAGAGCTGGGCAACTCCGCTCAAAATTTTTCAACTCCAACTCCAACTCTTTCAACAAAAATCTCAACTCCAGTTGCTTCACTTTTGTAAGGAAGAAGTTTCGGTTTTTGGCAGGATTCTGGACGTTTTTGAGGTTTATACGGCAGGAAAGCGCAAAGAACTTCACTCGTGAATACAGCCACTCAATCGTGTAGAAGATCAGTTTACAACTACTGAATATTTCCAAAACTGCAAAATGGAGTTGAGAATAAAAATTCAAAATTCTCAACTCCGGAGTTGGAGTTGCCGAGCCCTGCATCCTGTCGTGACCTAGGTGTATTTAAGCGAAATTCATTAGGGCTTTTTTAATGCGTTTACATTCGTATGGAGATGTAACGGGTTTGAACGGGTAGGATTTTTTATGTTATCCCATTCACACTACTGTTGAAAGTTTAAATTAACATGATTCTGATATGATCATTAGAAATGCCTGGTGCGCCAAAATGATTGCAANACGGTAAAACTTCTTTTTTAGAAGATGCGTCATTTAACTCTCCATCCGAAACACGTTGAACATTTTTCCTATATAATACCTTAAATAAAAGAATATGAAGAAAATACGGCAACTATGCAAATTTGATCTAGGCCAAAAAACACTTTTTTCAGTTTTGTTTCTTTATGTTTTGAAAACAGAAAGCCATTTTGTAGCCATTGAACAGTTCTAACAACTACTATATTTAAGAGTCATCATAATTACAAAGAGGTTAATAGCAAAAGTTGTATAGATCCGCTATTTCTACTGTGCAAAGACGAAAAGTCAAATTTTTCTCGTGGTTAGGATGAGGTTTCGTAAATCGCCTTTTATTCAAGAAAAAGATGTTTAAAGGGAACCTATGATATACGAAAAGACGACACTCAGGAACACAAGAACATATATTTTATTCCACGTTCATGTATGCTACCGTGCTCAAAATAAATTTGTTTCTCGGTGTTTTTTAGCCTAGGAAGCAGTCCAGATTGCACATTTGACCTATTTTCTTCATATTCTCTTATTTAAGGTATTATATTGAAAAATGTTCAACGTGTTTTGGATGGAGAGTTAAATGACGCATCTTCTAAAAAAGAAGTTTTACCGTATTTCTGGACTAAGATATATTCAAAATAAAGAATGTACACACAGAAAAAATGTGTTCTGTTCCTTATATATATATATGGGCACTGAAAAACAGAAATGGCGATAGAGACAACGACAAATATAATTCATTCATTTATCCATCTAGTAGGTCAATAGCATTCAAGGTCATTAGGTTCTCTGTAATGTGGTACCACACAAAATACCAATACGTGTGAAATTCTTTTAGTTACCGTTCTGTCACTTTCCTTATGCAAATATGGGACTAATTTTCCTAATTAGTAATTACATTAATGAGTTCAGAAAAGTTGCTAAATCTTTTCTAGATCTTGATACAGAATTCTGAAGATACATCAGTCTCGGAACCGCGGTAAATCTTGATCATATTTGTTGATATATCTGAACTTGATGTGCTTGAAAATTCTATACCACGAACTGTCAAGAAGGAGAATCTTTCAAGAACTTGTGCATATTTTCACTATGTACAAGACGTGGATAACTTACTTGACTGAATATGCACTTGAAATAATGTCGACAGATATGTCTCTTTTATGAAATAAACTGAAATAGCAACTAAACAAAATGAACAAACGCGTGTATATATATATAAGTGAAAATAATAAGAAGAGAACGGCGGACTACTATACGAAACTACCTATAGCCAGTAGAATTTTCTCTTTTAGCGTATCTTGATCATTTCTTGATGTCTCGCATATGTCATAAGGATAGATACAGAAAGGAAAGCATAAAGAAACATGAAGCTGAAGATGAAGATAAAGAAGAACAAGAAGAAGAAAGCATGCAGATTATGCTTTCCTTTCTGAATAAGTTGGACCTTGTAGATAAAATTGCTTGTGCGTGATCAGTTAAAAATAATGTATCCGCATCTATATTAAGTCTGGTAAACGTCAATTGCCATTCTGTAAATGAAAATCCTCCAAAAAGCATCGCATCACCGGTAAAACTAATAAATAATGTTTCTGATCTGTGAGAACAATCATCCCGAGATTCAATAATATTAGTATGATCCAGGTGACATTGACATTTTGCGTTAGATGGATTGTATGCTTCACGATTCTGTTCAACTAGAGAAAATTTAATTGAAGTTAATGAAGATAGTTTAGATAACTGAATCATAGACAACTATTGGAAACATACTGTAAACAAGATATGAATAATATAAGTAATAATAAAACAATAATTGAAATAGCTAATAATACCAATAATGTCATAAACATTGAATCTAGACCGGTGTTAACTAAAATACCACATGAGAAAACTAAGGATGACGTTATGATAAAAAATCAAGATAAAGTAGAAATTGTGAACGTTTACTACACAAAACTCAAATGTGCGAACAAATTCCTAGAGACAGTAATTAAAAAAGAAAGAAATCTGTTATTTTACTCTGAGCTTACTTCGTACCTATATATATTATTGTCGTAATTAGATATCCTCTTAATTTTAGTTTCATCGGTTGTTCAGTAAGAAAAAGCAGAAATTTAACAGTTAGAAATAATGATGAACGATTTAATATTTCAAGATCATATACAGAAAAATCATATCATATATACAGGAACTGGGCTGTCTGAT